ATCACAAAACACAGATCAAACTTGAATTTTGGTGGCGTCACTTTAACCGTTCTAGAGTTATGCACTTTATAAACGGAAAAATTGCAAATTTTTTTAGTTTCCGTTCTCTAACTTTTTAATAAGTTTGCCTCGACCAAATGTTATGAAACTTATACTCAATGCTTTGTACTACAAAACAGATCAAGTTGAATTTTGGCGGCGTCACTTTAATCATTATCGAGTTATGCCCCTTTATAAATCGAAAAATTGTAAAATTTTTAATTTCCGTTCTGTAACTTTAGTTTGTCCCAACCAAACATTATGAGACCTATACACAATACTTATTACCACAAAACTCAGATCAGTTACACATTTTGGTTCGCGTCGCTTTTATCGTTCTTAAGTCATGTCCCTTTATAATGTTGTATGCAAGCGGGGGCATCATCTGTGTCCATGGGGACACATTCTCCATTTATTTAAATATATATCAAGGCTGCATGTTAATATAATAATACTGAAAATTCACAAATGGGTGCATTGAAATACCTTTGTTACGAGTCATTACTATAGAGAAGGTATGTTTGAAACACCAAAATTAAAAGCTTCGTGCTAATAGTACAAATATTTAACTAAAAGAGTATTTTTTACTTGTATTGTTTTTTTTTTTTTTCGTTCACTCATTTTCTTAAAAACGTTGACATATTCTATTTTCATTCATGAAATATATTTAAAAATAGAAAAGTAGAACACATCATTCACTTACTTCCCCTTAATTCTTGATCAAAAATTCTTAACAACACTCTGCTTTTGGATTTTAAAAATGCAGCATAACTTAAAAAATCTGATTTTTGTGTGTGTTATCTAGGTTATCTAGTCTTCATTCTCTGCCCTTCCATAAAATATTTAAATATTTTTTTTAGTGTTTTTATTGAACTTTCGAAAGTCCCCCCCCCCTGACAACCTATCAAACAATGATTTCATGTTTCATGTTGACAAAAGGCAAATGATGCTTAATAGCTAATAGATACATTTTTCTTTTATTAAAAGTACAACTCTTAAATCTGCATCAATTTTATTTTATCAACAATTTTAGAATTTAAAAACTATTCCAAGCTTAACAACTTTCACCGTGACCAACCTCTCCCTTATTAAAAAAAACCCGCAATATTATTGTCATCCTTTTAGTAAATACTAAATTATAACAAAGAAATCTGTCAGAGAAACAATATCCAGGATGCTTAGGCTTACACTGACTTTATTATCTGAACTCACATGATAGTTTGCCTTGATGAACTTAGGTTGTGCTTGATTTTCATATGATGAAGACATAATCTTTCAATCAGTTTAATTGAGGTCTGGAGCTGGCATGGGAGTAACTGCTAGTAGTCCCTTGTTAGTTTATGTATCATTTTCATTTTGCTTAGTTTCTTTAGTTACATATTCTGACACGGACTCGGACCTCTTTTAAGCTGAGTTCTACTGTGCGTTTTGCTGTGTGTTTGTTTAATCTACACTGGGTAGAGGTATAGGGAGGGTTGAGATCTCACAAAACATGTTTAAACCCGACGCATTTTTGCGCCTGTCCAAAGTTAGGAGCCTCTGGCCTTTGTTAGTCTCTTATGTTTTTTTTAAATTTTAGTTTGTATGTTTGAGAGTTTAGTGTGACGTCCATTGAACTAGTATACATTTTGTTTAAGGGCCAGCTGAAGCCCACCTCCGGGTGCGGATTTTCTCGTGGTGTTGAAGACCCATTGGTGGCCGTCGGCTGTTTTCTGCTCTTTGGTCGAGTTGTTGTCTCTTTGACACATTCCCCATTTTCATTCTTAATTTTTATTAGAAAAAAAGTCCCCTATTCTATATCTATGCTCTCAATTTTTATGCAAAACCTTTTACATTTTGATTTTTCGGGTCATTGTTGAAGGTTGTACGGTGACGTATAGTTGTTAACACCCACTTCATTTGGTTTTTGATAGAAATGTATCCATTGGCAAACATACCACATAATCTTTTTTTTATAGGTATTGGATATTTTACACCGTATTTTGATGGTCATGCAAAAGGATCGTTATCCCTTAAATCATATGCATATTGTCTCAAAAGGGGACAAGAGGGGTTCCATTAACAGTGAATTCAAAATTAAAAAAAAAAAAACAGTAAACAGTGGTAAATTGTTTTCTTCATAATAACAGTTCACAACTTACAATGTCAATTTCAAGAAAACAGATAACAGCTAAATAGTCAATAACAGTAAACAGCACATATATATCTTCAAAATAACAGTTAATAAAAGTTTGAAAATGCCCAAAACACCTCAACAAAAAAGATCTTGCACCCCTCTCAAAAATCAAATTAAAACAAAATAGACTCATCTTTGGTCATATGAAATATCCACCAAACATGTGCTCGGTATATTTTTTATCAATTACACAAATTTTCTACATCAATGATCTTGAATATTTGCCACTTTTAACTAAAATATAAAGGCACAGAACCAGGACATATGTGCACAGAACCAGGACCGTTTTACCTAATCACCAGCACCTCGTCAGGACCATTTCGTTTGGCGAATTTGCACGACTTTGGCAATAAAAAATTGGTGTAATATTCCTCGCATGATACTTAGAACGTATCAGAGAAAAATTAAGCAATAGGACGGTTGTTTTATTGCCGTTCTGGTACAATGTAAACAAACCCACCAGCACAGAATCAGGACCGTCCCAGTGGCGTAGCTAAGCCATTTTTAAGTGTACGCCCGAACATCGGCAAGAGGTTTGAGGGTTCCCAGCGGGTACAGGGCAAGGGACCTTCCAGCAGGGGTCCGACGGAAGCTAACGATTTATTGAAAGAGAGATACTATTTCTGTCATTAAAACTCATCAATAGCAACATACTTTAAAGTCTAATTTCTTGATGTTTTCATGTATAATGTATTCAGTGTGTTGATTTGGAATCTAATGGCCAATAGTTGTTACTAGTACTATGAAATATGTTTAAAAGGAGATGTGGGGTAAAACAATCAATCGACCAAAGATCCAAACCTTTCGAAATATAAAAAAAGCAAGTCTATATTTTCAATGGTGTCGTTCTTTTGATTATTATGACTTATTCTAGTTTTTTCCCCTTTTATGCGCCAATTTCGTTAATGGACAAGTACATGCAATGATAAATCTCCATAGATGGTCAGGTGTGACATAAACATACTCAAAGGGTTCCGTGGAATCCTGTGTTTCGCCTGGGATTGCTGCTGTCGGTTAAACTATAAAAAGTGAATGCATTTATCAGTCAAATACAGGATTTAAAAGAAATCAAACTTTTCTTTAAATGTTTTTCTTGATCTTGGAAGATAAGCTTCTGTCTAAGTTTCATAACAATCTATGAAAGTTTACAAATGCAGCAGATGAAAAATATTTAATTCAAGACCGTCTGCTAATTGCCCCCCAAAAAATGGTAAAATACTGAAAAATGAAAAAAAATAAATTTTAGACTGAAATTTGCTGACTGTTGTAAAAGTTTTGAAATCATTTAAAAATAAAGAAATATATCTCGCCCATGCAAAGCTCTGATTCTTTTTCCGGAATTGGCTATACTTTAGGTACGTTTTATTTTGATCAGCTCTTCCAATGTTTTTATTAGGTTTTGGATTTTCAAATATTTCGGCCTCGAGCATCACTAATGAGACATTAATTGTCGAAAAGCGCATCTGGTGCAAAAAAACATCGTACAGTTGGTGATAACATTTTTACATAAAATTCGATGAAGTTTTGACAAAGTAATTGATGCGTAACAAACAATATCTACTTGTTAACTAATAAAAACAATGTTCTTTTCAGTAAAATGCGGAAAAATTAAAAGTAAATTTTCATAATTATGCTCTGGATACTCTTTTGATCATAAAAAAATTTCTGCTTATATTCTGTAAAATTTCATAAAGGTTTTACAAATTTATTGATGTTTTAAAAAAGAATTAACCACAGGCTGAACATAAATATTGACGACGCCAACGCCGATTACGGAATGTCTCGCAGGCTCGACAAAACTGCATATCGTATCTCAGCAGATAATGAATTGCTTTAAACTATAGGAAAGGGAGGATAATTCACAGTAGATTCAGATTTTGACAGAAAACGAACAAAAAAATAATATGATACCATTTGATTAAAAAGTAAATTTCTTCCGACTGTTATCTTCAATTACAAGTCAGTGGAGAAATAACTACATGGCTCATATGCTTTTAGCCAGATCTTTTAATTTATTTAGATTAAAATATTTTTTCTCCAAAATTCATGTGTACGCCCGGGCGTTTTGACGTAAACGTAGCTACGCGCCTGGGACCCACCATCACCAGTCAGGACCGAATCACCAGCACAGAACGTTCTCTCGCAGGACAACCTTACCCACCGTGTGGTTTCCAATCCTGATCAATCCTAGTATCAAACGTTTGATTAATAAAAGCATTGCAAGTACAAAAATGTATATAAAAAGATATCACCATTTTTTTTATTCCTCTGTAAAAACGAATGCAATGGATACAAACACCTTACCAACACCTCCAATAACAGTACTAGATGGATATTCTGGATATATAGAGAGTGAGAGCGGGGGATTTAAACACAGTTCGTCAGGTGGAATATTTAGACAAGCAATCTTCCTCAAAGGCAGGGAGCAAATTAAAACTGATTTGCCCTCTCTCCAAACTTTTCAAGCTAAAATTTGTAGAAGGCGGTTTACAATCTTATGATATTGTATAAGCACTAGATTATTGTTAACTATTCCCTTATACTTATATTTTTTTCAGCTAACAAAAGCCTTTTTTGTGTTTTATCTTGTAAAAAAAAAAGAATCTTGCTGCATCTTAAGTTTTTCCGCCGCCTTAAAATCAAAATACTGACAATGCATCAAATTAGTAATACTGTCAGAATGTTCTGACACAATAACAACAGTTTCTCGTTCACATTGCTTTACTACATAAGGAATTACATTTTAGTACAAGAAGATCACATGTTGCCTGAATGTATTGCCTACCTTCCTGGAGTACTATTTTGAAGGGCACTCTGCATCACCATTTTATTTCCGATATTGACATTAAACGCTGCCATATTGTATATAGGTAAATTCGAATTTTGTAGTTTTAACTGTGTTTATAATATAAACGTGCTCCTTTAAACCTTTTGTTTTAAAAAGAATCATTCATGAGTAGACACCGTATTGTCTTTTTCGACTGACGTATGTTGTTTTAAATATACAATAATGTTATTCAACACCAGATTTAGTATTATTAATTTTGAAATACATTTAATATATCTATGATAAATCACATGATGATAACCTTTTCAGCCACTTCCGGTTGGAATGAATAAGTAAAATCCGATGCATCGTGTAGGAAGATTGTCATGCTCTTTGCACGGTTAAGAATTATTGAAAAAACTCTCAGGAATTCGTAGGTGACTTGTTGCAAGGCCAAACCCATGTCTGCCTCTGTCTAACATGACTTACATTTCCAGTAAAAGTCGGAAGTTCCTGATTTTCTTCCTGTTCTATCCACTTTGCAGAACCTATGAATTGGATTAGGGACGACCATGGTGTCTTTTGTTATGCCAGTTTCGCACTTGAACCATCTATTCACATGCTTCAGATTGTTTCCCCCACTGGAAAGTATGAACAAGCTACGCAATTGCAATGGCCTCAATAAACTAAATGTGATAAATTAAAGACTATCAAAACAACTAGACTTCCAACTATTTTCTTTGAACAGGCACCTACAGTATGAAGAGGCATAAACAGGTTTGTAAGCACTCAACCTTCCCTCGTTGCAGCTTGGGCAATGGTGTTACAGGGAAGAAACGCAAAAAAATCGTTAAAAGCAATTAAACTTAAACTCAACTAAGGAGATCTGTACCTAGAACATGAATATCATCTTTCATTTACTGAAAACTAGTAAACAAATCAAATATTGAATTGATTAATTACTATAGAATAGATCAATTTTCCTTGTCAAAGCTATCAGTGTGTACACGTCCAAACGGATCGCGTGTAAAACCAAAATTGACAAAACATAAAAAAAACATGATATTATCCTATTTACTTCGAATAATCAAGCAAAGACGTATGGCTAATTTTCCCTGATTTTATTTCATACTAGGACTATTTTTAAAAGGCCTTCAATTTTTACTTGCGTTTAAAACAGATTAACGTGGTCTGTGTATGTATAGCTTCACTAGTGTACAATGAGAATGTATCAAATGCGCAATGCCCTACTTCTGAACATGTTATCAAAATATAAATGCTTTTGGTAATCATGTTATCCGAGTTATGTACATGCTAATAAGCATGCTTAGCATGAAGAATTAAAGATTAAGAGCAAATATAAAGACTGGTCGGCTCAAAATCAGAATAATGTGCCCGTGTAGGGTGACAGTTACTTATGAACTTACAAGTAAAAAAATCCAGCGCAGAGTGTCGGTCTAGTACACAGCCCAGTTCAATTTTATATCTCATGAACATGTTCTCGTCCTGAATAAGAATTTAATTTGTCACTGGACGTTAAACAGCCGTCCATTTATCCTTTCTAACCCATATTAAAATTCTATCTGAAATGAAGTTGAATGAAGAAGACATAGGATATAAACTATAATGTATCCCCTAAAAACATACCCCCCCCCCCACATTCTTCAACAGCAATGTATGGCACTTAATATCTTTATTTTCTGTATATGAGTTTTAAATATCTGACTTCTTCACACCGGGTGTACAGACCCGAAATCCGCGGAGGGATCCTAATCCCGAGGAGCAATTAATGAACAATGTGTAATGGTGGGAAAATAAAATCTAGATCGAATTCCCACGAAGGATAATGCTCCTTCCTGGGAATCGGATCCCTCCGCGTATTCGGATCGGGATACTTAGTGTGTACTTAGGGAATGACCATTTAACTTCAAAAGGGGGGGGGGGTATGGGTTTTTCCTAAAAAAAATATTCTGATCCCCAATTTGATGAAAAAAAATATTGTGGTCAAGCAGATGACAAAAAAAAAAATATTCTGAATCCAGATTTTCCCCATACCTTATAGTGTTAAATTTTGAAAAAAATAATTTGATTGATAGCGTCGAAAAACTAAACAAATTTCTGACTCAGACAAAAAACCATAACCCCCTCCTTGAAGTTAAATGGTTGCTCCCTTAGACTCACTAAAATTCATATCTTTAATTTCAACTTTCCTGAGTGAAGCAAAAACAGATGAAATTGGCTTTAATAAATCTTTTAATCCGATCAAATGTAGTTGGATAATATTTTGGTGACAGTATATCCCATACATATGCTCCATGTACACAGTACACTATTAAATACGTAACGCAGTGACTTATAATAGCATTTACCATATACTAAATTGTCTATTTCTCGCGATTGTCTACATTTATTCTCAATGTAGAGGAAAGAAAAAAAAACGGAATTTACATCAATAATTCTTCTGTTTCATCGATATAAGGTATTTTAGAAAGTAGACATGCAGATGCAGATGATGTAATATGTGATGAAGGAAGTGACGTCATGTATACTAATGATGATGACGATGAACTATTATTTTCAAGACACTCAAATGATTCACTGAATTCGTAAGAGTCTTTCTTATTTAACAGTTTCCTATACGACCGTAAACATCCATTCGACATTTTCAACTTTGTACCATTTGGAAAATAAGCAGTCGATTCGCATGTCGTAGATGGTGGTCCTGAAATTGATCTTGTTAAAGGTTTTTTGTTCATAGCCGACGACTCGAGGTGAAAGCTTTGAAGAGTTTTTGAAGTATCACCTTCAACCGAGTCTTTACTTTTAAATGGTTTCCAATTAGGATGTAAGCATCCGTTTGACAGTGATCCAGTTATGAATTGAGCAGACGATTCGAATTCGTCAAGCGTATGACATGTTGCAGACGAGGTTCCCGATAAAGATCTTGCTAAAGGTTTTCTGCTGAAGTTTATTTCCTTTTGTTTCATTTTGTATTTAAGTAAGACCCGCTCTCTTCTCTCTTTCTTTCGTTTAATTTCTTCCTCTGCTTTAAGTTTTTTAACTTTTATCGTATGATTATTGACAAAAGCAACAGTAATTAAAAATAGTACAAGACCAAAAACAATAAAAACTGGTCCAATTATGCGGAATACTTGTCTTTGTTTCCATAATAGAGAACCCTCACTTATACTCTGAATAGTAGCACCTAGAATGAACACACAACCACAAAGCATTATTAACCCTGACGGCCAGTATAAACATTTATATTGTCTTAATCTTCTGTCTCGCGCAATTTGTTCTTTTCTCTCTTTTTTTCGTTTTCGTCGTCCAGCATATTCTTCATCTTTTTCACCTGCATATTTCTTTTTTTCATCGTTGAATTTTTCAACGCGTCTTTTAATGGAATCGTGTTTACTTTTCTGTGAATCACGTGATTTGAAAGAACTAGACGAGTCTTGTTTGGTTCTCAGTGAATCCATTGATTTGAAAGAACTGTTTTCAGAGCGTTTTATTCTTAAGTGTTGCTTGCATTTCAAAGAATCACATGATTTGAAATGACCACTTTTTCTTTTTCCCGTTACCTAGAATGAAAAGAATATGAACTTTTTAAAAATTACTACTAAAGACTATTCAAGTCGAGAATCAAATTGAAGTGTGAATGAAAGTCAGACAGTGATGGCCCCTAATAACTATACGATACAAGCACGTTATATTTAGAAATGTATATAATGACCAGAGGTCAGGCGGATGACTTTCCCGTGGTGACGCTCTCCTAAGGTTGGCAAAAAAGTGCACCATATAGAGTATAATTTAAATTTAATTTGATAAATTTACCAATTGGTCTATCTCTATACAATATATCAACCTTGACATGTTTAAACAACACAATATACAATTAGCAATAGTTAATAACTAATTTGGTTCCTTTGATTTGGAGATTTGAAAATGAAGAAAAGGTTCTTAATTCAAAAAAAGAACACTTTTTAAGCTTTATTTTTATAAAAAAAAGTTTATTTCCTAATTTCACAGAATATTAACATTTTTTGCTACTAGTGATGCCAAAATCCAAATAATTTGTCAAATAAGGATTTATACAGAATTTGTCCTGAGTGTACACAATCAATTAAAAATGGACAACAGCAAACTAACAATCATACTTCAAATAGAATGATTTGCATTCGTTTGGGGTGACAATCATTAATTATATAATCAAACTGCAAAATTTGTCAACTGAACAAAGCCTGTGATATTCAAAAAGATTTATTAAAGTAAACACACACACACACAATACACTAAACATGCATATCAAATAAAATTATTAAATGAATACAATATACGAAAATAAAAAAATAAAAGTTTTTTTTATTGCTTATGAATAAACAATTTAATTTTGGATGTCTTCTAATTGGCTGAAAGTATTTTTGTATTTTAGCTCATTGACATAATTTTGTCATTTGACCGTGACGTCATCAACGTTTTTTCATGATTTATTCCTTAAAAATGGAATTTAGAATTAAATTGTAAGGAATGACTGTAATATTTTATTCGAAATAACCTCAATAATGTGGTCCACATTTTTAAATAACCCGCTACACGGGTTATTCAGTGTGCACCACATTTTTGATGTTATTTCTTCATAGACAGAATTTTTTTTACAGTCATTCCTTAAATGGTTCACAGCTAAATCATGTAGACTACGATAAGAAAAAACAAATTAACGGAAATAATTTTTAAAAGTTTAAAAAAAAAACATATAACAGTGGTCTATCCTGTTCCAACAATGAGACAAAACAACCAACCGTAAACAATTCCCCGCAATAAAATTAAAGATGAAAAGTAAATCGAAGGAGGCTGGATTCTGCAAGTCATCAATCTAACATTTAGAAAATTATAGACCAAACGAAATAAATAAAAAAACTAATAAAAAAACGCACAGCCTAAATCGTTTTGTCCAAAGTCAGGAGACTGTCATATGGTCGTTCACTAATATAAAAATAAGAGGATGTGGTATGATTGCAAATGAGACAAATTTCCACCCTTATGTTTACTTCCGCAATTTTCAAGTAACTTGGATGGATATCATAATCCTTTCAGTCAAAATAAGTATTATCAGAGGCCAAAAAAGGGAGCAAAGTTAATTGTTGCTTGCTAAATTGTTTTTTTTATCCCTAAAAGCCTGGCCATCATTTTTTTCTCATTCGTAAGATATCGGCCACCACCTATTACAGCTTCATAGCAATGTCCATATGCATAAATATATAATTAAATGAGTTTAAAATGTTATCTATGGTTGGACTTTTTTAGAAGCGTATGTTTTCTGCAAACATTATCAGTTATATATTTCAACAATAATAACGATGATAATATTCATAGGAACGCAAGGTTGATACAGTAATAAAACTTCTTGCAACAATTCTTGATCCTAGAACATTAATAAGTAAGTATGTTTTACGATACAATAAAATTATTGGTCAAATCATATGTTTTGATACGACATGTGAATACGTATTACATGCCCTTTTTAGAAATTAGGACGTCATGAGAGCTAGCTCATTATGACATCATTGATTAAAAAGATGTTTCATACGTCATCAGAGTATTAGTGTTGCGTAATGTATTCTGTCTTCAGTCGGTGTGAATTAGTCATACATCAGTGGCGTATTGATAGTTTACAGCTAGGTGCAGTTTTGATTCAGTGTCCAATATTTCGATTTCGTTATTTTTAAAAAAAAAATTTTGTATTTTAAGATATTGTTGTTACATATAACAGATCAGTTAAGAAATGATGTTGCATTAAGGGATCGACAATTTGTTTTTTTTTATAACTTTTTTATTTATACGGGCGTCATTACCCGGTACGTTGAGACTGCGCAACGTTATTAACGAGGACAAAGTTCTAAAACGGACATGGTATGACTGACAATAAGACAACTATCCACCAACGTTCAAACCTATATAGATATAGGTCACCATAAAGCCTTCAACAATGAGCATAAAACCATACCGAATACCCACTATTAATATTGCATTTATTTTTTTCAATAAATGACATTTCATTAAAAATACTACTACCCTTATTAAATTTTAGGAAAATTGGAAATTTAAGAGATGTACTACCAGAGCTTACAATTTTAGATTGATTGATTGATTGATGGTGTTTAGCGCCACTTTTGGCTACATCGTAGCAGTCAGTTTTTATTAGTGGATGAAGCTAGAGAGAACAATGCACCGACCTTAGGAAGTAAATCCTATAGTCAACAAAGAGTTGAAAGTACCTACCACATGCGGGGTTCAAATCACAACCTCACAACAGGCTAGTAATATAGCCACCGAGGACCCCTTTAAATCCTAGAAAATTAAAGCATGTAGTGTCCTCTACCAGTATATTTTTGATAAAATAGGTCCCAAACTGTCAAGAATCGGCATGGCAAAAAGCTTACTTTGATTTTGTGTTATATGAAGAAAAAAAACGTAAACCACAATTTAATTTCGAATAGTATCTATATGTGTCATGTTATTAGAACTTTTTTTTTCTTATTTGCAAAATAAGAAATGGAAATGTTCTCCGAAAAAAATCAATTCTTTAGGGAGTGTAATAAAGTAAATAAAATCACTTCTAAGAAAGATAGTCTAGATTTATTGAATTTGTCTCTTCAAATTTCAGTGGACAAGAAAACAACCAGCCTCAAGACAAAATAGCAATATTTTTTTTCGTCCAGTGTACCTTTTTTTATATGTTTTTCACCGCATGAATCGATGGAGAATATGTCTGGCTGTAGAGTTCAAAAGGTGTGCTGGTAAGATAACCTGTATTCCTGGCTCACTTGAATGTAGAGTGTACGATGAGACTACTTTTCTGGTCCTTTGACAGGGAAAAACACAAATAACGCTTAACCTTTCAAATATGATTCTCTTCTGGACTTTGTCTTGCATATTTATTTCAGGCATTTTAAGGAAAAATAATCGACGTTTCCAAATTTTTAACGTTTTGACTGAGATTTTTCATTTCTCTCAAGATACTGAGCAATAGTCAGTGGCGGATTTAGAGGCGGGCCGGTTCCTCCTTGTGGAGTTACCTATATGGTTAATGCATAGACTTTTAAAAATTTCCATTCACAACTTAGTATTGGTGCCCCCTTTTAAATCCTGGAAGTAAATAATACTTTATTTATAATCAATTTCATGTGCACTCATTCATATGTGTCCAATTGGAAAAGATCATTGTCTATGCAAACCAATTATTTGATGCATTTCAATGGTAAGAAACCCGCATTATAAACACTACCAAGTGATGCTCTTCACAACGACGAACCAGTGCTGAATGATTGAATAGTAATAAAGTGAATTCAGGATTCACGAAAGACTTGTTAAAAAAGAGACATAATTTATATAGTACTATATAAATTCCAGATCGTCTTACCCTTTCCATAGTTGCTAAAACACAAACACTGAAATATTAATACGATATATATGTATGCCAAGTGGTCTAAGTAGTTTAACTACTGTATCACTAGCCTAGTAACAATAAGGTTGTGAGTTCTAAACCCGCCCGTTGCAGATGCACTCGACTCCAATCGTAATTGACTAGGATTGTCAGTTTTCCTTCCTTAGATCGGTGGTTCTCTCTGGGCACTCCGGCTTCCTCCACCAATAAAAATTGACCGCCAGGAAATAGCGCAATAGTTTTGAAAGTGGCGTCAATCAATCAATCAATAGAGTGAAAAAGAGTTGCTCAAGTCAAGCTAGGGTTGTACACATTTCTTAATCGACCTATGTCAAGGTCATTAAACACCTCTAGTAGTAGTTAATTGACCTATAACATATTAGGCCTGGTTTTCTTTATATTTCCTTAAACAAAGTGCAATAGGAAAAGGCTGATAAAATAAAATTGATCGTTGTCATGTTTACGTTATATTCATTTTGGTCTGAAACATATCAAAGAAATCGGATTTCCCTTTCTATCATAAATCAAGGTTAGAGCAATTGAGTAATTTTTCACCTTTTGTAGAGTTTACAATTTCAAAGTTGACTCGTGTATATAAAGCAATATATGATTTAGATTCATTGCTAAATAAAACAAATAACTATATATGTGAATTTTGATTTGTCGTATTCCCCTTTAATTTACTTACTGTTATTTTCCATCATCACGGAAATTTTAAATCGTGTATGACATATATAAATCCTTGACCATTGGAGTTGTTAACAACATCATTAGTGTCTGTAAACAACAACACCTTTAGCGAAGTGAATTTGTTTTCCATCGGTCATTGGTTGGGATTCTGTACTTATTTTTCCTTTTCTCTATTCATTCGATGTTATCTACAAAGAAATGGTAGTACTTATAATTAGCGACTCTTTAAGTCTACAAAGTTCATATACTCAAAACAGACTTAACTGCTGGAAAAATCCGAAACAATGATTCATAGTATGTGTCGTTCAAATTTACCCTGATCAATAGGATCAGAATAGATCCTTTACGTATCCCATTAAGTTTCTTCATAGAAAACAGTGTATTTAAGTTGGGACTAGTGTATGCCCTGTTGAAGTCAATTAACATGGGATGGTACCATGAAATAGACCAACTTTGAACAAATTCCTCCTAAAGCAAATGCAGATTTTGCTACAAAAAGAATTGTCAAAATTAACGAAGGTCTTTCCACCAAAAACCATGTATTTTGATATGAAAGTAGTAAAATTCGGTTTTAAATGTCATTTCCAGCGTCAAGTGATAGCTTATTGTACGCTGATTCCAAAAATATATGGTTTCTATACAATATTTGTTAAATAAGGGAGATAATTTGTTACTTCCGGTTTAAAAAATGTTACTTTTGGTATTATTTTAATTGTTTACTCGACACTGATTCCAAAAATATCTGGTTCTATATACCTTTATAATAATAAAGTACAAAAAATAGCTACTTCCGGTTAACACAAGGTTACTTCCGGTTGGTTTTTTCAAGGTTAAATGGCTTGAAACCTAATGCAAAAAGTCCCATGTGGCTTTATCATGTATACATATGCGGTAAAAGCAAAGGTCAAATTCACGAACGTCAAATTAACCTATGACCTTGAGCTCAATTTCAAGGTCATCAACCAAGGACCTCAAATCAAAAGACCCTAGGTCTTAATTATATTTGGTTAATGAGTTATATCACCATACGCATATTTTGAAAAAAAAAAAGGGAAGAAAACTCTAATTTTATGTAAGCGTACCCTTTAAACCAATATGTATATGTTACGACATGTTGCAACTAACAATTAAGTAAAAATATGTTGTCGATATCTTATATCGTGTTTGAAAAGAGGTGAAAATAAGCAAAAATCCAAATTTAGAAATGACCTTGACCTTTGACCTTGACCCTATTTTCTTTTTTTTTGGACCAAGGACCTCAAATCAAAAGACCCTAGGTCTCTATCACTTATGGTTTACCAATTACAATTACATTTTACTTATTTTAAATATATACCATAATCTCATTGGCGGTTACTGAACCTTTAAATCTGACGTAACGAGCCTTTTTCAATTTGGATCCAAGGAGGAAGGCAGGAGACAATTGAACTCCAATATAAAACCAGGATAATTCTTACAATAAAAAGTGTACGGCTTAACAGGGTCAGTTTCAAAATCACAATAACTGTTCGATATCATATGCAAAAAATCTAAGCGACATCTTGCGAAACAAAAAAGCACCGTGACAAAAAAAAGTGGCGGAAGAAGAAAAAAATAATAATAATCAGAAGAAAACCAATAGGTCTTTCCACAGAAATGTGGAAAGACCTCATTACCCCAGAACTTTAACGAAAAAAATATTTTAATGGTTTTTTCCGATTATGTTTCATGATTTTACGTTAATCCAAAGTGGCAGCAGTATTAGCCATGCATATAGGATCATAAGATCAGGCAAATGAATTTCCTCCACACTAAATCCAACATACCTTTGCTCACAGAAAGGGGTCATGACAATATTCAGAAGTGAACCAAAGACAATTTCAGAAACAGTTGTATCTAGCAGGCTTAGCACTTGAAGAATAACATACAACTGTTTGAAGTTTTACATTGAATGTTCTTGGTTTATGGCATAAACATCAGAAACAACTTTGATAGTAAATCCTTATAATATAGGATGGATGATATTTGGTCCAAACTGACTCAGTTGTTTCAAAGAAATTCAGTAGTTTTTAAACTAGCCTAAGATCTTACAAAGGCCAGGCGATAGAGTGAAATTAAGATAAATAGTGAAATGTTGGGAATATTTTGTTTAATTACATTCTTTACTTTTTTAGTAAAAATAAAAATATTTCAAAACTTGATAACAAATCTCTGTTTATTTGGTTAATGGGAAATGAAGATAAAAATATTTTGATAATAATTTGTCAATTATTAGAGGTTTTAAATAAAAACAGCAATACAATACTAAATTAGAATACTTTATATAGAGTTCTAGATATATATGATCATATATGCATTTACAATAGTTACTATTTACATTAAATTAATAATTGGTATGCTGTGAGGTGTACTGTCCAATAAAGGATCCAGAATAACAAACAATGGGTCATATTATATATTTTTATTAAAACAAATTACTTATTTCAGTTACTTTGATATTATATATTTATCAATTAAATCAAAATTGTTATGTACTTTGTTGAACCTATTTTTAATTTACTTTTATATTATGTTTGAAATTATATTGTAATTATTCTGCTAATTTTGGGCGCCGTGATTGGCAAATAAAATATTTTTTTGTTGTTTGTTTGTTTCTTTCTTTACTTATACTAAACTTATCATTTATCTTTAAACAATTGATGACTTGAAATTTTGAAAATATTCGGGACCAAACCAGATGCACCAAATTTAATATTCCATGTGATTAAGATCTGAGAAATGGTAGAAAGGTAACTATAAAAATTCAGGTCCGTAGTTATGAAGTTTACAGGTATGTTTAAGGGAAGGGGTTTGCATTTTTACTGTAAAACAATGGAAATTTTCAAAATAATCTACATTTTAAACATTTTCATGAAACATCTTTCGTTTCTTTACATTAAAAGTTATCAAAAACTGTAAGTAAGATTTGTAAAACAATTAATTCACTGACCTAAATCAAAATGAAGTATTTAAAGTATAAATATACTTTGCAGAAAGCTAGCTTAGACTTAATATCTTAATATAGACGACAATGTTATTAATTATGTAGTAAGTCCAAATTGGGCAATATTGATTTGTAGGTCACAAAACCTTCACAAGTTTACTGAACATTCCAGACAAGCTGCTTGCAATTATTTACCTTCGCCTCACCTTTTCGAAATTATTTACCTTCGCCTTACCTTTCCACATCACAATTATTTACCTTCGCCTTACCTTTTCACAATTATTCACTTTCGTCTTACCTTTTCACAATTATTTACCTTCGCCGTACCTTTTCGTTAATTTTCACTGCACGTTGTGGTGGTAGACAAAATAAACCCGTATAATTCCTTGGCGTTCAGGATAAGATCTATATCATTAAATATTAGAAAGATATCAACACAGTTGCTCCGTATTCTTGATCACAGCCATCCCGGAACATCCAGACTTTTCTGTAATTAAAAAGAGTAAAATAACAAAAATACCGAACTCCGAAGAAAATTTTAAACGGATAGTCCCTAAGCAAATGGCAAAACCAAAAGCTCAAACACATCAAACGAATGGATAACAACTGTCATATTCCTGACTTGGTACAGGCATTTTCTTATGTAGAAAATGGTGGATTAAACCTGGTTTTATAGCTAGCTAAACATCTCACTTGTATGACAGTCGCATAAAATTCCATTAAATTGACAACGATGTGTGAACAAAACAAACATACATAATAGGTAAAAATGTCAAAAATAGGGGTACAGCAGTCAACATTGTGTTATAATCTTAATCACTACAAAAACAAGCAAATATGTCAACAAAGACAAACAAAAAGGCAGATAGACAAAGCACATTTGCAAAAACGAAAGATAAGAATACAAAAATTTACCATAGCACAAAAACACAATGACGGGATATACAAGTACCGAGCCACGTCAAATGAATCACTACAAAAACAAGCAAATATGTCAACAAAGACAAACAAAAAGGCATATACTATCAATTTCTAATTTACTATCTACAGCAGTTTCTGATAATGCAGAGCTGATGATATATATATATATATATAGGGAATTTATCAGCCAATGAGGATGCCCTCCGGTCAGTAGGCAGTGAATCGGTACTGTCATGACTTAGATGATGCAGATATAATTTTTATAATTATAATTCTATCAATGATAAAATAGACAAATTAACTAAAACTAAGGTTGAAATTCCTGCAAGAAAATTAGACCATATACATAATTGTTATTGTGTTTTTTCGGGTATTATTTGGGTCTTTTTTTAGCTCTCCAAATTTTTTAACATATCTGGGTGAATATCGCTGCTAGTGGAATATCAGTACCTGAGGGTACCATCCACATATAAGGCACTGCTCCCGAACTGTCGTGATTTAAATGAAGACAATTCTAATAAAACTAAAACTAAGGTCTAGATGATTTTGACTATTCTGTATAGGTCGATTTGATTTTAAGCTGTCAAACGCTGGTATCTGGTTTCACAGACTTCTCGAGCGCAACAGATGAAAGTTCTTCCAGAAACACGCGTAATGCGCACCTCAACCGGTAGTATACATTTAGTTCCTATATCAAATATCCAGCAGCTTTAAAATTTTATTATAAATTTTCTTACACGTATAAAAAGTTGAGGTCTGAAATGCTATATACGATCATGAAAATCCAAGCAATGATAAGCAAATATAAGTTATGATGATAAATAGTTTAGCATAAGATAATTCAATTATCCCAATATATACACCTCGCCAAAAGTTAAGCAACACCTAAATGTTTTTGCTTCTATATTTTGTTTTGAAACTAAATTTGATACTGCTTTGTTTCCACATATTTCGTTAATCTGTTGTAATTTGGCAAGTAAGAAATTCAGGTAAAGATTTTATTCCTGGGTATCTTAAAAACAGGTTTTCTAAAGCTACATACAAGTTTTTTTCCTTGCAAGTTTCGTGCAATAAAATGTAAGGTGTTTCACGTGCTGTTTTGTCAGTGTATACGATAAACATTCTGTTTTTTGGAAGATGCAAAGACGTAAGTTAACAATTGCACAGAAATGGCAAGTCATTTGTATGCGCACTACTGGTTTAAGTCTGCGCAGAATAGCTGTTCAATTTGGTGTATCATACAGTGTAATTTCGAGATTACAGTTCGCCGCGTACGAGACAACTGGGGAATACATGGTCGCGTGAGTCTACGAACTGTTAGCCGCAGACTAAATTGTGCCAATTTACGTGCCCGTAGGCCAGTCAAAAGATCATTGCTGACTCTTAGGCATCGTCAAGCTCGACATCAGTGGTCACGTGACGTGATCACCGCAATTGGACTTTGAGACAGTGGCGTCCATTAATCTGACGAGAGCTGATTCCTCCTACATCATATTGATGGGCACATGCGCGTATGGCGTCCTCAGAATACAGCATATAGGGAACAGCACATCCTTGGAACTACAGTGTTTGGTGGTGGGGTGTGACAGTTTGGAGATGCTTTTCATTTTACTGCAAAATGGACCTGTATGTTCTGGATATGACTATGACGGGTCAAAAATATCGCGATAACATCATCCGGGATATCGTTGTGCCACATTTTGACAATCACAATCTTGCAACCAGACCAATATTCATGGACTATAATGCTAGGCCACACAGAGCACGCATTGTTTTAGAATGTTTACGTCAGGAGACAATTGACACTATTCCTTGGTCAGCCATGTCACCGGATTTGAATCCCATTGAGCATGTCTGGGGTGATATTGGTCGAAAAATCAACAACAGGGTTCAAGCTTGTCATAATTTACAGGAATTACGAGCAGCCTTGATTGAAGAATGGCAAACAATTCCTGTTAGAACATTACGACGCTTAGTTCAAAGCATGAGACGACGTGTGGATGAACTTTTTCGGAAGCGTGGAGGATACACTTGCTACTGACCTAAATTGTACTTTAATGTATTTACAAATTGTCACTCTCGAGTTTTAAAAAGAATTTCGTGTATAATGTAGAGCAAATTTGTCAAAAACTTCAGTATAAGTTGAAACTTAATCTTGTCTTTTTTTAGCAATTTTACAACCATTTGCCCAAAATGTAATAGTCGAAAAAATTCCATCATGAAAATAGTCTAAACTTGCACTTTTCAAGTAACAAGTTATGTTATCTTATTAAAACACAAATTCAGTTCATTGTATCGATATTTCGATTAGTTAGGAGATCAGTAAAAAACGATTCTGAAAAATTATCAGGTGTTGCTTAACTTTTGGCGAGGTGTATGGAAGAATTACGACATTAACGGACAGGTAAATCTTGTATATGCATTGTCATTCCTGATATGAAAGTAGGTTTGTCCAGAAATCCAAAAATGAGAAGACTTATGTAACTTGTAAACATTTTATACATTTTTATATCAAATTGATAAGAAAAACAGTTTGTAAATAACTAATCTTACCATATGAAATTAACAGAAACAAAATCCTAAGTCATCAGTAAGAAATTGATTCAATTATTCCGTGTTAGGTCAGTGGTCAGTGGTCAGGTATTAGTCAATGAATCCAATAAATTATTCAATCGTCTTCCCTGTAAACAAGACGTAATTTTCTGTATACGTATAACCGTTATATAAAAGAAGTACACATAGTTTGATAAACATTCGCCAATTTAAAGTTGTAAAATTTGAATTAATCGAGTGATTATTTTGACCATTAACCTATTTAATCATATGTGGTCAACTATGTTAATGCGTTCTTAAGTAGTTGGTATTATATTCAAATATAATACTTCAGGTGCAACAAAGCTTATCACAGTTAGTTGTTTTATCTAAGTGTTGTTTTCGGATAGTTTTTTGGGGGGTTGTTGGGATTAGAGGCCCTCTCTCCTGAAAGGTTTCATATGTGTTTGACTATCCTATTATTCGGAGAGGGGACTTTTAGCATTTCTGATTAGGGTTAATCCAAACAGAAAGGGCTAAAATCTGTCCTTCAAAAGTAGATTTGATTACAAAATACTTTTAAATCTTGCAATAAGGATAGCTTTACAATCTCCTGCATGTTATATATCGAAAACTCAGTTTTAAAAAAAACATAGTATATCTTGCTTTCTTTTAAAAATTGTTGTCACTATCTTTTTTTTAAATGCAGGGCAAACATTTTTTTTGCAGAATTTTTGCGTCTTTCTTTTTATATTCGTACTATTAATTCATAAACTTACATTTGTAAGTAAATAATGCCTATATTGAAAGAAATTTGGTGAACATTTTTCGCCAAGTGACATATCTTTTTGTTGCAGTTGATAGCCCCATCCTTTCCTCGTTTTTGGAGATTTACTAACGGATTTCTATCGCGAGAAGTCCGACATGAGTGGCCTGTTTGTCTTGATTAACACTTTTTATCAGGCTTTATTCTGATTTTTTAAGCATTATTTTTTAGAAACAGTGGATACTAAAATGGGTACATCCATCTTTCTGCCTATTGTAGAATCGAAAAAGATAGCACATATATGTATGTATTTTTCAAAAAGATTGCAAAGAAGTGAAATGTTCCTAGCAGATTATCATAATTCACCAAAAAGTTTGTTTTTGTTTATTGTGGTGCGATGTTGTTTTGACTTATGATAATTTTTGGACCAATCTGATTTCATTAAGATACGTTAGGGTGCGTTGTTGTCTGAAATGTGTCAGTAATCAAGGTTAGAGTTACATGATAAGGTCCATTTCTCAGATACTATTAGCAATAGGTCAACTATCTGACTGACAGTTTTCATATGATTTTGACCTCATTTCCATGGTTCATTGGCCAATGTTAAGTTTTTGTGTTTTGGTCTGTTTCTAAGATACTATAAGCAACACTTTAACTATATTTGGCGTACGGAATGATTACAAGGTGTACATGTCTGTCCGGCAGGTATCATATGACCTGGACGTCATTTTCATGGTTCATTGGTCAATGTCATGTTTTCGTTGATTTGTCCTTAACTCAGATATTATAAAATACCGCAGTATGTTTCTCTATTACTGTAAGCAATAGATCAACCATATTTGGCGTATGGAATAATTGTAAGGTAAGCATGTCTGTTTGGCAGGAAGCATATAACCATGACCTCATTTCCGTGGTCCATTGGTCAATGTTAAACTTTCATGGTATATATATAAGGTCTGTTTTTGGTATATGGAATTTGTAAGGTATATATGTCCATCCGTGACCAGTACAGCGAGGGGAGACATTTCAGCATTCTTGTATAATCTTGCATTGAATATACAAACAAGATACACGTCAGCAACGAAGCACTTGCTAAAAAGGATGAGTGTATTCTCGGGGGCTGATATTCTTAACATCATTTTTCAAATTAATATAATCAGTTAATTTGATAACATTTAAATCAAAATAATTGCTTACAGTATATGAATGCTTAAGAAAAATGAAAATAATTTAAAAAAGATAAACTGAAAATCTTTAAAAAATAAACTGATAATCTTTAAAAAATAAACTGTTTTATGACAGTACAGAAACTAAAATGTAAGGACCGGAAAAGTAGAGTGGGAAATTTGAACTTTAATGAGGAAGTGATGGTATGTTGGATAGGGACTATACTGAGTGTTACGTCGAGCTGATATCCAGTACAGGATCCCGAGGGTTCTTCTTCACCAAACGCATAATTTATTTCTATAGCGATATTATTTTTGTGACTTCCTGATAATCATCTATGATAATCAGTATATATCGATCTCTTCATTTTTCGAATATTTATCAGGTATATTCTTGGAAAGCATTAGTGGGCGGGCTTTAATAATTTTGATGGCCGTTATTCAATATTTTTGGCTATCCTTGCAGCAAAAATAAATAAGAAGATGTGGTATGAGTGCCAATGAGACAACTCTCCATCCAAGTCACAATGTGAAAAAAGTAAACAATTATAGGTCAAAGTATAGCAAAAGATTGATTCGAAAATATTCGCTTGAAACCTCTGATGAAGCACATTGTTGCAAATCGTTCTACTACTTTGTTGCAAGTCTTTTGCATATAATATTATTCAAAAAACTTTAATATTGGTTGCTGTGGTTGTATGACCAAATTAATTAAGTTATATCTAAAGCCGTTGAAAATGTGTTAAAATGGTAAAACTAGTCATATATACATGTACATTGTATACTCAGTTAAAATAATAAATGTCAGCGAATATTCAGATATATTATTTTGGCTGCATTCAAAGTTTTAAAATATTAACCTCGTGTATATCGATTGTTTTTTTTAAATGTTTGCAATACTAGTTTAATAAGTGCATGAGAAGCATTTTTTAACCTTTCAAAGTCACTTAGGTGAAGGTTGTTTTAAATTAGTTAACTTCTTGGGGAGGGGTAAACTGGTCTTTGGAATATTTTGATCGGTTTCGTCATTAGAGAATATGTCTCAAAATGTAATATTAAGTATATGAACTGTAATTAACATGTTCTACATGGTGCAATTTCAAACTAGATTAAGGACAAGGGTCGGAGATAACAGTCCATGAATATTCCAAGTAGTAGATTTTTTTCTGTATACCCATCATCGTCTGAATAATCAAACAAGTACATATAGTCCAAACAGATTAAAAGAATCAACTCAAAATTAAGATTTATTTACTTGTAGGATTAAAGCTTATCTCCGCTTATAAATTACTTTTTTAAAAACCAAAAAGAAATTTTTACATGTTGACCCTCAAATTGAGAGTAAACATCCTTTTAAATACTGGTCTCGGACATGATAACAAAAAATAAAAAAAATAATATGCTAACTGAATGGGTGCATATTTAGATATTTAGAAAGATCCACTCGCGATGACTACTTTTATAGTTTAAAACGAGCTAGTTTCTTGCATTTGCTAGAGTCGAATACTTCACAGCGCATCAGAAATATAAGTCAATAATACTCATTCAAGAATAGAAATATATATTTCTATATCTTTTCTGCCTAAGAAACGCATTAAAATCCCAACTACGAATTACTATTTTTATTTTGGCACATTAATATTATCTCTCATAACTATTTTTATTGGAGGTTCAATTTATCGAAGATTTGAGGAAAACTTTATTTAAGGGAGCTACCATTTGATTTTTAGGGGGGGGGCGGGCTAGGATGAAAAACTTTTTTAATTGTAATCTCTGTCCTGCCTTTTTATTTTTCACTCTATTCGGTCCTGCCTTTTTTTAAAATTTTATCCTGACTTTTATTTGCATAAATTGTCATCCTGCCTTTTTTTTTGCCAAGTTGCTTATCCTGCTTTTTTTTTACTCAAAACTCATGTCCTGCCTTTTCTTTCAAATTTCATCTTACTATCCCCCCCCCCCCTAAAAATCAAATGGTAGCTCCCTCAGAAGCTTCTTTTTATAATTTTATAGGTGGCCGACGCACATTTTGTATGAAGTGCAGAAGCGTTCAACGCTTCCTATGCGTTGTTGTAACCTTTTGACTGGAAGCACGTGCAGTCATGAATATTGCATTTTATTGGGTAATTGTGGAATATCTCGCGATTGTTGTTTGCCAATCAAAATTATACGGATTCAAATGAAACATACATGTAATGTAATTATAAGAAGAAAAAATATACTTTTTTCAGTTGCTGTATTATTATTTTTGTGTAAAACAAAGAGTTACCTAAAAACCGAGCTCAACAAGTACCACGTACATTTCCAAAGCAAACTGAGGATATTGGTTACTGCCGATATCAACTAATAAATAGCCAAGTACTAGTTTGAGTTTGCGGTAAAGATTTTTTTTATAACTTACCTTTGAAAATCTTCCTTCGACTATCGGTACGAAGAACAGCATTAAAAGTCTTGCTCCTTTGTATCGTTTAAATCAACATCATATCCCAGTAAATCCTGGTATATATAATGTCAATACAGAATGTATGTATGTAATTGCAATGCTATATCATATAAACAAGTCTGCGGTGTTATAATTGAGAACAAACAAAGGCTATACGGGATTATACATTATATGCACGACTCGAGGCTTAAAAGGTTGCATATGAGTCTCATCTTGTGTGAACAATATGACGTGAGATTAAAACCTAAATAGTGACCTTCATAACAAATAGCTTATGGTCTATTGTTTACCAATCACGACTAACAGTAAAAACATAATTGATTTTACTGCACATTTTCATATTAATTTTTAGGACGAACTTGACATTTAAGTTTATAACAGGAAAATTTGAATTATTGAATACGTAAAAAAAAAAGCATTTTCCGTTTTCTGATTTTTTTTTTCAAAAGTGCACAATAATATCTCCCATTCTCTTGATTTTAGGGGGTGGGGTAAAAGTATTTACTACAGACTAAATATTTTTTAAAATCCTCTCAATTTATTTTTCGGATATTCATTTTCGATGTCACGATCGTTAGTGGAAAAAATCAGCCCTAATCTAAAATATTCTTCGGCCGGTCAGACAGTTGGTATGAGGTCTGCATACCTAAAGTTTCGATTTTCGGAAAAGATAGGGTTCTATTAACCTATAGTTATTGCTGAGCAACACTATACACGTATTATATGCATTAAACATTTATGCACAAAGACAGTTATTCAGCAATATACTTGGCCTATGAAATAAAGGCAAATTGCACTATACATAGTTGCTGAACTGCTTAGCAATATACTCAGAAGTAGGTGCTGGTACGTGAAATAACATTAATGGTACCAATCTGTGCGCATCAGA